GGCTACCCTGCACATAGCAGGTGGGTTGAAACTAGATGATCACTGCGGTCCTTTTCAACCCAGGACATTCTATGATTATTTTTTTTTTTTTCCACTTTAAATATGCAACCCTAGCACGTAAGCTTGAGAAATAAGCAGCTATTCTATTTGTAACACAGTCAGGAAATGAATATAGATACCAGGGTTTTCTTTCCCAGCTACCTCTGAATACATAGCAAATTCACTGGGACAGAGGTGCCAGGTGATTTTCCTCCCATACTATTTGAAGATCTCTTGAGGCTCAGATGCTGTAGCACCCCAAGTATTGCCACATCCCTATAAAGAAGTCAACTTGACTCTTGAGCCAGAGTGCAAAAAGCTATAGGATTGCATACACTGCAGTTTTTAAAGAGTAAGGTGGTTATATCCTAGAGCACTTTATACTGACCGCGTTTTTGTTTTCTTTTTCTTGCTGAAACTGAATCAGAATTGTCTAATATCATGCTGTGAGTCTATAGCAGAGCAAGGCACACACCCTACACGCATCAAAAAAATTGCAAAAGTTCTAAGTTGTCAAAGTTTTCCTGGCACACCTTATAAGCCAGTTGCATAGGAACTAAACTCATAAAATCTGAGCTATCTTTGCCAAGCACCATTTCATTTCTTTTAGGGGCATTCCTGGGGCCCTCGATTGTAAGATTTGTCATTCCTTTTGAAATGTGAATACCAGAACTCTTCTCCAATTGAGGTGCCATTCCAAAGCAATCCACTGACAGCATTGACCGTGAGTTGGTTAATTCTCAGGTAAGAAACAGTTGTTAAGTTCAGAATGAGGTGCAGCCACAAGCTTCTTTTGCTGGAGGGACTGGTTGATGCTGCTTTACTGTGATCTGCTGTCAAGGGGAAACAGAAGATCAAAGAGACTGGGGTCCTGCTTGGTCTCATATCACCATTATGAGAAAAAATTCACTGCACAACAGGCTTCCATTGTCAAATTGCTTGGACATTTTTGTACAATTACACAATACTAGTCAAAAGTCTGCTGAGAATACCATCAAGTGATGTTGCCCTAATACTGGCAGGAAAGACTACTGTCCCTAAAACTAATACACTGTCCTTTCTCATTCCTTTCTTTCTTCAAGGATGTCAGGGCTGAACCTTAACTACAGGTATGATGCCATTTCAATGAGAAGTTCAGAGATCGTTTTAATATCTTAGGTTTTCAAGTAGTGGAACTCTTAGCTCTTGAGGGTCAGTAATGAAGAATGAAGCCACGTCAGGAAGCCATTCTGTCATCTGAGGAAGACTTTTAATGCTGGAGTTTTTGATGAATACTACATTCCTCTTTGAAATACTGCTGCTCCTTGCCCCAGAGATTCATTTAGGAAGCCTTTATCTGCCTGCCATTCTCCAATGCTTACAAAAAGGCTATTCAACATCTTTTTCAAAAATGTGTATTGTTCTCTTTTTTTCCCCCCAGAGAGTTCTTTCAGGAGATGATGTCCCTTACTATTTGCAGGCACAGAAAAACTGATATTTCCTATTTTCTATTTCTTGGTTTGTCTTTTGTGTGTACTTGTGGTTTTTTGTTTGTTTTGGTTGTTGTTTTTTGTTGTTGTTGTTGTTGTTTTGTTTGCTTTTTTGTTTTTGGTTGGTTGGGTTTTTTCCACAGTAACAATTCAGTTTTTCTTGATTTGTGCTCATTCTTAATATTAGAAACAGGCCATTTTTGACAACTGCAAAAATTAATTAGACAGGATAAATCTGCAAGACAAGATAGTAACATCTTAGTAAATTAGACAAATGTCTTCCTTTCAGAGATCTATTTAATCCTATTGGTCTGTATTTCACATCATTTACAAAATCACTGATGAAAATGGTGCTACTAGACATAAGCAGTTCCTTACACGTTGGCAGAGTAACCCAAACAGTAAATAGAATGATTTTGGTTAGCAGCACTGAGAATTAGCTTAACTAACATTAGTAGGGACTATTAATATTGACACCACGACATTTACAAATATGGTCTATCAAAGCATTTGGGAAAAGTGTTTATCGCATTTGAAAAGAGTTTACTTAACCTTTATTTGGGTGATGATTTCTTAAACCAGATGGACATCTGAAACCTGAAAGGACTGTTATGTCATTTACAATAACTCCCTGTTGGCTAGGCAGTTTTCCTAAATGGACTTTTTTTGCTAAAGGCTTGAGACCAAAGCTATATTGCACAGTATTAGATAAGAGCACCCTAAATGCTGAAATAAGATGCTGTGACTCCGATATCCTGTATTGTCAGCTAACACATCCTAACACTCAAAAATCTTCCCAGACTCACTGTCTACAAAGCCAGTCACAATAATGTACTTACGCAATCAGATCTGTTATGCTAACTGAGGCACGAAGAATACAATATATCAGTGAATAGAAGGAGTAGAAGCTTGTGCTCCCCTTTACTGCACGCTTGGCCAGTATCTTCAACATGTGAAACATATCACAGAAATACAGAGATATTAAGTAATAATAAGTCTACATACCAGTTAACACCCATGCTCTCTCTCTTTGCTAGATAACTATCCAAGAAATTGATTTCACTGCTTTCAAAACTTTCAACAAACTTGGATGATCTGTCAAGGAGATGTATGAGCCATTAAAATCTGCAATTACTTTACTTCAAAGCCACGATTAAAAAGTTGGGTTTCCCCTCCCATCCTTAGCCATTGATTTCCAAGGCAAGAACATTTCACTGGTGATGTAAACCCCAATGAATTACCAAGCAACTAGCAGAAAAGAAAATTTAGCTCCTCCCAACCAATCTCATATAATTGAGCTTTATTGAGATGAAAGGATGAGGGTGAGGGGGAGAAGACTAGACGATTGTAAATTTGGATTGTATTTTTATCACCATTTAGCATTGAAGTCAAGTATAATTTGACATTTTATTGATACTTCCAGTATTTAAAGCTGACAAGTCCTATATTAAATTTTACCATGTATATCTGATATGACAATAAAAAGCCTCTTGCACTTTGCTTAGTAGCTGCTGCAATAAAATGTAAGTAGAAATGCCATGCAAGAAATGATTTGTCTACTTCTGTCCACTACCACTTCCAAGCTTTCCTAAGCTTTTTTCAGTTACCTGGGCAGATTTTGCTACTTTGTTTCCCATTTCCTCAAGAAGATGATAAAGCCAGCTGATACTTGTTACATTCCCCTTTTTAGTAGCTGTTGTAATGTCTTTATGAAATTGAAAATGCAAGGCTTCCTCTGCTTCTAATGCTTTGTGACTGTTCTCTAAGAGAACTGCTAAGGTGCTACCATCACCCTTGCATGACTAGTGGTTGTATCTTCCCGTACATTTGTTACATGCTAAGCCTCCTAAACCAGAAGAGCAACAGAGTAGCACAGTGTGCTTTCTGTCCTTTGTATTATGAATTAGTAGCATCCCTATAATTCTTCTCTGCTGCTCCTTATTAAAGAGTAACCATATTTACAGTAGGTTTAAAGAACAAATCTTTGTTAACAGATTTGTCTTCCACAGGATCAAGAAAATGAACAAGTAAATAACACATTATACTTTTGAAAGTCCAAGTCTCTTCTTAATAAATAAATATAAGATGAAGTTATAAACCTATTAGAGCTCTAAACACTCAAGGGATCAAAAAGTCAAATACAGTACACAACTGAATAGATTAGAAGACTGAAACACAAAGGTATTTCCTCCCTGGTATTATGCCAAGCAGTGATGAAATCAGTAAATACTTTTGAAAAGACAGACCTCTTAAAAGGCGTAGAGAAATAAATCTGACAAGAGAACTGATGCATCCAGGAAAAGACAGATTGTTGCTAATTTTCATCTAAAGAGAGTCATTGCATGAGTATCTGGAATACACCTCCGGAGAGCAAGGTTCACAAAGATTAGAAGAATGTATGAGGTTCAAGAAAGGCCACCTCTGTCCTTAAGCCACAGTTCATCTGTATTACAGGGCTGTAAAGGAAGTGACTTTTCCATACACCAGTGCTATCTGTTTAACATGGAAAACAAAAAATACCTTCTGCTGGGCATTTTATCTGCTGAAAAGCTTCTGACCAATAGATCAAAGGATTGTTTTTTTTTTTTTTTTTTCCCATAACATTTCAGTCCTGAGTTCTCACTGCTGTTGTAGCTAAAAAGATAGCAGATTTTTAAACCCAGATCTTAAAGCACTTGGGGTGGGATTCTGAGAGCGTTTAAGATGGCTGGTCAGCCAAAAGTCAGTCTTCCTGGGCTCCTTCCACTTGCTCTATCCTGCTTATCCCATAACCATCAGCCTACCGTGATGCTTCCTAGAACCAACACAGAAACATCAGAGGAATATCTGTCCCCAGTGGGTGCAACCTTTCCTCAGGCTCACTACGATATTCTCTGGTACGCCACAATTCTTGACCTGTACTTGTATTACAATTGAACAGATTAGCACAGTGGAAGGGTGATACAGAAATCACAGAAACACCAAGATTAGAAAAGACCTACAAGATCATCAGTCCAACCATCCACCTACCACCAACAGTTCTCACTAAACTATATTCCTCAACAGAACATTCAAACATTCCTTGAACACCTTGAGGGCTGGTGACTCCACCACCTCCATTGGCAGCCCATTCTACTGCCTGACCACTCTTTCAGTGAGGTAGTATTTCCTAACATGCAGCCTAAACCTTCCCTGGTGCAACTTGAAGCCCTTCCCTCTAGTCCTACCATCAGTTAGGTGAGAGAAGAGGCCAACCCCCAGTTCACTACAACCTCCCTTCAGGTAGTTGTAGAGAGCAATAAGGTCTCCCCTGAGCCTCCTCTTCTCCAGACTGAACAATCCCAGCTCCTTCAGCCACTCCTCATAAAGCCTGTGCTCCAGACCCCTCACCAGCTTTGTTGCCCTTCTCTGAACCTGCTCCAGGGTCTTAATATCTGTCTTGCAAATATAACAACAAAGGGACCAGCACAGAAAACATAGCATTGCACAGGAAAAGTAAACATGCTCACCTACCTACCCAAAAATCCAGGCTTCCAAAAAGGACTCCACAAGGCTCCAACCAGAAATCCTTCCATAGTGGCTGTCAGCCCTTAAATGAGGTCTAAGAGAGGTGCAGCCATGCTCCACCTCTTCTGGCCACTGAATTGCCTTCACCTGTGCTCCCAGGGCTGACTGGGCCCTTCCCCAGGTGATCAATCAGTGGTTCAGGCTGTGAGTCAACAGTTACAACACAACTTGTCTCAAAAAGAACAAAGGTACATTCTTCTTTTTCTTAGCAGCACGAAGATGAACACTTAGTTTACCTCAAATGAGCCTGCCAAGACTCAGCACGCAAGACAAGTAAACACCTACCACAGCTGAAAGGAAGTCCCGTGTAACAGAATGAACATGGACTACATCTTGCTTAAGATTTCAGTGACCTAAATCCAAGAGAGGATGAGATTCATCTACTTATTCCTTAAGGTTCCATGTATAAACTATGAAACCTTATGCTTTAAGGGAGAATGGAAATTCAGAACTTCTAGAACTTCTACCATCACACTTTTCAAACTCAGAATAGCTCTTTCAGGGACACAGAAGATAGTGCAGGAGTTATGAGAAATGTCATTTCAAAAGTACCTGTAAGAATTTGATTTTCAGTCAACCCTACCTTAAAACTTTTGAGATTTTTTGAAATAGAAATTACAATTAAAGAAGAATTTTAATTTTCACAGACTTTAGCTATCTCTCTTCCTTCATATGTGAAAATAACAATGATTTTTTTCTTTTTTTACTTGGGGATTTTTTTTTAGCTATTCAGATTAAATGCCTGGAGAGAAAATTCAGATGTATGACAGGATGGCTGAAAGTATAAAGAAAATGCACATCAACATGGAAATCTTAGTCATGACTATAAAACAGCTCATTTAAACAAAGACAGCATGATATGTATAGTAAAAATAGTGTGCATTCATTCTTCATTTTAATCCAGTTTCACATCAAAGGAGATTCTCCAGGAATTGTGATGTACATGAAGGTATTTGAGTAGGAAAATGAAAGTTTCACCATTTATAAAATCTATCTGCTATTTCTCCCTCTAGAGAGAATTATATAAATATAGTATGTTGCTCTTCAATTCACAATCAAGCATTGAAATATGAAAAATTAGCTTTGTTAGGGTGGCTCTGCCTGATCACAGATCTGACAGAACATGGAATACAGACTATGAAGTTCTTTTGGAGATGTTATTCATTGTTAGTGATAAACTTATACAGAAAGACCAGATTCAGAGAGGTCAAGAAGTAGCTCTCCCCTAGACATGAAAAAGATGATATTTAGACTGTAATATTTTTCATTACACTTTTTTTTTGTCTGGCTTCTAGTCAACAAATCAGGGCAAATCCTACTGAGGTATGCATATTACCCCTAGCAACAGATGCTGACAAGTGCATTAATAAATCATGACCATAATCAGAATTATAAACAAATATTTTCCTGCCAGACATGTTGTTTATTATAATTTTGTATTTTGCTTAATTACTTTATTTTTTTCAGATTGTACTAATCTTTGCATAAAATATTAATTGATCAAATTACTGTAGCAGATTAGCTTACAAAGGTCACTAACAACACAATTAGGTTCTGGAACAGGCAGTTGATGCTTTGACATGTAAGATGAGAGACAGGACTCCGAAGACCGTAGTAATGAATTAATTGTGAAATGGCAAGTGTTGTCAGTTCAAAGTCAAGTTCAGACAGACCCGGTGTCTGGATTACAGTAAAATTAGATCTTGCATGAAAGGAATGAAATGAATAGACTTTGAAGCAAATGCACTTCAAAATAGAGGGTTTTGAACCCTCTGTAGAAGGTTGTGCAACCCAATCTCATTGTAGATTTCTCCTTTCCTCTATGACTATGGCAAACCTTTCTAGGAACCTCAGCTCAGCATCTCTCAGAGATTTTTAGCTAAATTTGCTTTCAGTAGTTTTTCACTAAATGGCTATCTCTAGTCTACACTTTTACTTCTGTCTAGGTAACAGTGGGCATTCAATGTTTATGCCACCTTCATGGTGTCCTGACTTAAGGCAGTTTTCTTCTCTGTGTCACTATCTCACAAAGAACATTATTCCCAGAAATTCAGGAACATGATTGGCTTTATCTAGCTTAAATTCTGAGAAAGCTGCAGGTGTGTGGACTCCACATTTTAAAAATTGTACCTGATGGAAAAATGAGACAAGCTCATACGTACACCATCCTAGTTAACAGCAGAAAGGACTGGAAGAAGAAATCTACTGCTGATGTGGTTTGCTGATGATAGTAGATAACTTCTTGCCACAACAGTATTGAATTTTGTTTTGGTATTCACCATCTGGCATTTTCAGAATTTCCTCAGGGAAGATCCACAGTCATTGGTACCTCCTTTTCTTTATCAATGACCTGTGAATGGTAAAACCAGCTACTTTCTCCAACTGTCCAGATGAACAAGGGAGAGGATAAATTGCAGCATTGATGAATCTTAGACCTCTCAAGGGAAATGAGTACAAAATGTGATTCTTGCTGTGGTGCAAAAATCATCTGAATCTTGTCTGTGTATTTTGGTCCTGCAAAAGCATCCTCATACATTCCTATTGTCCTTAATAGATGAGACTCCAGAGCAAGTAGACCAGTATCACAGCATTTTCTCATTTCTTCTAAGAAACAAGACATAGTTCAAGTGCCTTGGATAGTATCAACTGTTCTGAAATGATACTGGGAAACAGATTGGATCCTGTAAGAACCTACCATGCTGTGTAGAAGTCATGCTCATAATAAGTAACTGTAAGACACTGATGTCAGCTTACTTGTTTGTCTCTAAGTACTTCTGCTGATTGAGGCTCTGGGGGCTCCAGATAGAAAGCAACACAGGAGAGAAGAAAGTTTCTTCCACATAAATGCTATATATGAACAACAGTGCTTTTTTTCTTCTGATATTTTTTTTTAAACTTCCCTAAATACTGATTAATATGTCAAAGATGTAAGCACTCCATTGGTCTGGTAAATATACAGCTAAGGATTGCTTAGCACAACAAATTTGGTGGCTGTTATGGTCTATCAGACAAATGTATATTTAGCCTAAAGTTGAAGCATACATTATTTACTTGGTTGACATTAGCATCTTGATGAAGCTGCTCTGGGAGCTGTTATGAGACACCAATGTGATACAGAGTAGTGGAAATGCTGGCAAATGGAGCCTTGACATAATGCCTCGTAGCAGCTGTGTAGCATCAGCTTGTGGCTTGGATTTGAGATGAGGGTGGATGCGTGGGTAGAAAGCAGGTGCATGTTTTCCTAGGAGAGCTCACAAGCCATTCTTGTATACAGCAGTCTTCCTTTCCTCTTAAAGGCTAACTGAAGCTGCCACATGATTGGAAAACTAAATAGACTGTGATGGAGAAAAAAGGCCCTTTGCAAAAGCTAAACTGTGCTTGTTTTGTTATTGATCTAAGAACCAACTTCTCGGAATGGCTCAGCTCAGAAGAAAAGGGAGGGTATGTGGAATTCTTATGTGAGTGGAGCTGCTGGAGACAGTGTCTCCTTAATTAGGGTTCAGCAAGTGACCTAAGAAACAAACAACAAAAAATACATAGAGGAAAATAATCCAAACAAACAAAACAAATCAAACAATCAAGCAAAACAAATCCAAACAAAACTTTTAGCTCTGTGGCAACATGACGTACTATTTGCTCCACAAACACAGTCTCTCTCTTCCTGATCCTTCTTCACAGTTTTCTACCTGAGAACAAGCTGCCTTTTTTTTTTTTTTCCTCCCCTTTCTCCATGTTCCCCCTGTGATACAGGATACTCAAGGCAAGGATATTTGTTGTGCATTACCCATTCAGATCCTCTTGCAGGTAATAAATGCACCTTCCCCTGTGCCACCTGGCCCGTCAGCACCAGTCACCTACACAAGAAACATGGGAACTTCAGCACAAAGGAATGGTTCAGATTTGTTATTCTTTAAGGAAATGCAACAAATTCCATGTGGCTTTGTTTGCATTGAAGGTCTGATTGATCTTTTCCCTCCATCCCATGAGCAGTCCACTACCAGAAGCATCCAGCTCCTGACATCAGACTGAGGAACTCCTCTCTCCTTGCTTTCATGAAATGTCAACCAGCTCAGGGAGAAGTAAGGGAAGCCAAGTGCTCTCTGCTATAATAAGCAGACCAGCATGCATGCTGCCAGGCTCAGACAAGAATAAATTCTGAGTCAAAGCCAGGCCAGACAGTTTGTGATATTAGCTCAGTAGTCAGAAGGTTTAAAAAAATCATCTTTTCACTTGTTTTTTTAGCATTATTCATGGGAAGAGAAAGGAACAGAGATAAAGTTTTTCAAACTTTTAAAAATTTTAATTTCTTTTCAAAAAATCTAATGAGCTTTTTCAAAGAATCTAATGAGGTTTAACAAGACCAAGTACAAGGTATTGCACTACAGTCAGGGCAATCCTAGATAAGAGTACAGACTGGGTCAGCTCCTTGAGAACAGTCCTGTGGAGAAAGACATGGGGATCCTGATGGATGAAAAGCTGGACATAAGCTTGCTCTTTCAGACCACGCCAACAGTATCCTTGACTGCATCAACAGAGGGATGGAAGTAGGGACAGTCACTTCTCTCTCTGCTCCGCCCTTGTGAGACTCCATCTGAAGTACTGCATCCAAGCCTGGGGTTCTCAGTACAGAAAGGATGCAGAGGTGCTGGAACAGGTCCAGAGGAGAACAAAGATGATTAGAGGGCTGGAGCAGTTATTGTATGAAGACAGGCTGAGAGAGTTGGGCTTGTTAAACTTGAAGAAGAAAAAGCTCCACGGAGACCTCATTGCAGTCTTCTAGTACTTGAGGAGAGCTTACAAAGCAGGAGGGAGAATTATTTCTTATGCACTCTGACAGTGACAGGATAAAACATTTATGTTTTTTATTCAGAGTGGTGAGGTGCTAGAACAGGCTGCCCGGAGAGGTTGGGGATGCCCTGTCTCTGTACACATCCTGGGCAGCTTCATCCACAGGGATTGGAA